GTTTCTYTGGCCGATAAAATAAATATTAAGATCAATTTACATAAAATGAAATATGACTACAAACAGATCAATTTATATATGACACTTTTTTATACAGTATTTAACTCCACGCTTCCAAAATATTTGTTTTTGTTGCAAATGTAGAGTATTTGATCACTAAAAATTGGATTTTGGATTTGCCAAAYAAAATATAAAAATAACCAAAATACATATGCAAAGACATTAATGGTCTTATTCTACTTATTATCAATAATTAACATACATTATAAATGTATTTAAAGATATAAAAGAAAATAATACAAATCTTTTTTAACCAAATTTATATGAAAATTCATTATATATACAAAACTTACTCATAAGTATTTAATAAAAATGGTTATAGTTCACAATAGCAGCTATTTAAACAAACTTCAAACGTGAATTAAATACTTATTTTATTAAATATAAAATATGTGATCAAAATATATGAATCTATTAGAATCTAAGGTAAATGTTCATTAATCAACACTTAAAAAAAACATAAATTATCAAATAACATATACATTTAAGTCACTACCTCCATATATAAAACTTTTTTTTATTGAACTAAATTACCTGAATTTCAATAAAGTCAAATCCTCCACATCCATCTTAAATTGCTATCAAGTGGGACAGATTTTCCGAAATCATGCAAAACCTACTTTAATATCTCTTTTGAAAATAAATAAGATATAGAACATGATGCTCAAGATCTATTAACACTTACACCATCTATTAACAATCTGTTATATCCAAGTCTTCGCATCAAAAAATCTACACAAACAATATATCTACCTGCAAATATTGTAAATCTAATTACTGACAGCACTCTAGGTAGTAAACATATCATTATCAATCTGATGAAATACAGTTTAATCTTTCTTGCAAAACCTATTTTACAAATTACTTTCATCTTCAACGCTTTACTAAGACTTTCATATTTTCCAGTAATGCGAAAAATTGTCAACCGTAATACTTATGCCAATACTAAAACCAAATAAACCAAATACTCTAGCCACCTCCTACAGACCAATAAATTTACTTCCAACTCTAGAAAAAATAATACTTAAAACAATCAGACCTATAATGCAAACTCACAAAAATATTCCAAACGCTCAATTTGATCTTAAAGCAAAATGTTCTACTGATCACCAAATGCATAGATTAACAGACAAAATGTCAACTTTTTTAGATATGAAGAAATTATGTCCAGGTGTCTTCCTGGATGTAGTACAAGCTTTTAACCGAGTATGGCATGAAGGCCTACTACACAAACTCAAACTTTTTTACCTGCAATTACTCATCACAGGTGAACCAGTAATCTCACCCAGAAAAATGTCTGATTTGATTCTTAAGATACAAATAGTAGGATTAAAAACTAAATATAAAATGGATGATCAACAGATTAGCATTTTTACCAATAAATAAAGTTTATGTCAGAATAAAATATTTGAAGACGGTTTGTACAAAAGAAACTACAGAGGTTCTTGATACTTTGATTCCACACGCATCAAAGGTATATATTATAGTAGGCCAGGAGAATGTATGAATATGAAATTAAAAAAAAAAAAATAATACCATTATTTCCATTAGAAATATGGAACATTGACGAGGCTTTGACAAACGGTCAATATCGTATAAACATCGGAACAACTGTTTTACACATCTTATCAGACATGTGCACCCAACAGTCTAGAAGTTAATTCTAAAATATATAAAGAATTAGGAGTAGACAGAGCTTAAGTAACATCACAAGAATTAGATGAAGGGATTACAGCACCAAAAAGACAAAAGTTTAGTAACATCAGTGAATGTTTAAACACGTATGCACTAGTGGCCAATAACGAAATATTGGAGGAAGAATTTTTAGTTTACAACAACCGTTGTATTTAAAAACAAAATAAATATTATTTTTAAATTATATTACATTAATCTTTTACCAATAATAATTTAAATTATTGTTAACAAATTATATTTCAGAATTATCAATTTTAAATTAGGTTAATAGATATTAATAAACAAAAAATCAACCCAGACTTTATTTTGTTTAATAATTTCGTGGTCAGGCTTTTTTTTCCAAAAAAATTTAAATCGTTTTTACCGATTACCAATCTCATCAGTAACTACAGGAAAAAAAACTAGTCAATCAGTTGAATGCCATCTGCCATCAATCATTGATTAAACATAAACAAAATATATTCATTAGTCATAATGAAACTTAAATCAAAACTCACGTGTCAATATCGGTAGAGCGATTCATGCCCCAACTTTGAGTGATTATCTCCTGCTCGGGGCATTCTTGAACAACAACTTCTTCTTGGACATCAAAAAAATGTTGGTATCCCACTTGAGTCATTTGTTGAACGACTTCTTCATCACTGGACTCAAATAAATCACTAGGGTCGTCAACAGGCTCTTGTTTAATTTGCTGCCCTTGATCCATTTCCTGTACAATTAAAATATAGTTATAGACGAAAATGTAAAATATGATTAGGTAATGTTAGATTTAGATTGTTAAAACCAATCTGCTACCTTAAAATTATCACTGAATGAAGATATGGCAGCTAAATATTGTAACCCATCGGCATATGGCACAGATTCCATGACCGCTCTAGTCATATTATTGAGCTCATTTGTGCGTGTACCACTGTTGGTGAAATATGAAGACCCAATGGTTTGAATTAAACAATTTTCAGATGACAGGCCATCTATGATGTGCGGATTGAAAAACTCAGTCTTAGAGTCGACAACAGTGCCTGGACATAAAATATTGTCCTTTCTATCAAAATCTAGTGTTTGGTTACCAGAATGGACAGACACGATTTCTTCCTCGAAGTCAGTGTCCATGTTAACCAGGGTGGTGTTTATGGGGATATCTAAAAAGAAACATAATATCTTATGTTTGAATGAGAGCGATCAGGAATGATTATCGGTATCCTCGAGAGTAACTGAGAACCAATTTAATGCTTATCTAATACCAAAACCTGCTGAAAAGTAAAATTAAAAAGGCTTGGATGATACACCAACATTGAAACACTACAACCAGATTTAAAATCCGAATCCGACGACCCCAAAATCGCACATCAAATTCTAGAATATACGTATTATTTTTTATTATATACATCATAGGTACCAGGTACGTTAAAACAATGACCCGGATAGTCTTAAAACGGTAAAATGATGGTATAGTACAACTTCAGTAGGAACAGTAGGAACTTAAAAATCTGAGTCGGCTTCAACCGATCCCACCACATGACCTTATCGGCCCGACACCCGACAGGAGTAAGCGATTTTCCACCGAAGCACCGAGTAAATATTATTATTTACACAAGTCGCGACTAAAAGTCTATAACCTAAAAAACTCTGTTCGACGTCTTTTCCTCCATTATTTTTTTTTCATGGTTAGTTTTTAATTATTGTTTTTCGCAGTTTCGCACATATATATATTAATAAAATGAGCTTGTCCTGTTGACGAAATTTGATTGTTAAAAGTTATTCATTATTTTTGCTCTTCGACGGAATAGCGAAAAAAACCCTGAGCAGTGAGCATAATCGAAGGGGTAAAAACGTTTCGCGACCCAGGCGTCAGATCGTGTCATTTCCTCCGTCGACGGACATGTTTGTTCCGTCGACGATTTTATATTTTTGTCCCTAACCTAATAAAATGTCGACTATGTCTAATGTACTCACCCCGCCACACAGCCGTTCGTCGAACGTATTTCCTAGTCACGTTATTCAGGACCGTTTTCTGCCATGGGACGCGTATTTACTATTTTTAACGCGTAAAGRCCAATCGACAGTAATATATGACGCCATTATACTCATATAAATATACAAAATACATTCGTCGAAAGTCCTCCACCGACCCCACTCACCACCACCACCCGAAGACCATCGTATTATTTGGTGTTTTGGTGACGCGGTGTTGACGGGCCGCCGACCGCCGCGGTGGAATATAGCTCATGGAACAAAAACAGTCAGCTGCAATCAGCATCGAGCATCAGCTGCTGACTCTGCTGCTGAGTGGTAGCAAAAATTCAGAATTATAACTTTTTTTTGTATAATAATATTAATATACCATTGAACAATGATAATTGATAATATAGAATAGAAGAATATAATAAAAGTATAGAAGTTTAAGTTTTTCAATCTTCAATGGCAGTATTGGCAGATGCCTGATGCTGCGTATGCGTATAGCTTCATTATTCGTTTTATTCCGATTTCCCAAATTTAGTAATTTTCTGATATATTATGGTATTATAGTGTTATACTCTTATATTATAACTGAAATAATTAAATTAATTATTAGACATTTAGTTATTACGAGAACCCGCCTAGACTCTAGAGTATACAGAGCATATTATACTATTGTAGGCATTGTAGTATTGTCTACTGATTTTAATTTTCCCATACCAGATACCTAATCTTTGCTATTATTTTTAATATAGTATTTACAAGTAAACTGTCACTTTATCAGCTGCACGCCTGTGCTACTACAATCCTTGTCATGTCATGATGGTCATTTAATGACTACAGGGGACAGGGCGCAGGCTGCTAGAGTAACTGTAGTCATATAAAACAAGACACAAGTATAGTAACTACTAAAGTACTAACTACTAACTAGTAAAGTAATAAGTCGTAAGTGAGTTGAGTTATTCACTATTCAATATTCATGCGTATATATATATATATATATATATATATAGTAATTTACGATTTAGTATTACATAACGCAGTTACGTTACGCAATAGTGCAATCATTAGCCATGACTCCATGAGTGCAATAGTGAATAGACACAATACGCAATATACGCATTCGCTACTCAATCAACGGCTGATTTTTATAACGCGACTCGTTATTCGTCGACTATTCTCGATTATACACGATCGAAAATAAACCGTTACGTTTTAAAATCGGAAAATCTAAAATTTCATTGGCCCGACACACATCGGTGGGGGGTGGAGAGATTGAAGCGTTAAAATGGCTACCTTTGTCCGTGTCGAAGTAGTCGAACCGTCGATCGCCTTACAAATACAATTATTATTGTATGCCACGACAGAAACTGTAATAYACTGATATCATTTTTATTATTGTTGTGAGATTTTGTTTGAATTCTCCCCTATCGCTGATTTACGGAGGCAATCCGCCAGGCGCCAATCCCCATCCCATTTATTTACCCAGAGTCTAACATAGTAACATCGTTATAGACAGCCTGCATTCGAAATTCTAAAAATCCAAATTAAAATTATAAAATATCCATTCACAAGTCACAGCAACGCCGATTGTGCAGTGCACCATTGGATTTCATACGTTTGTTGGTCCATTGAGGCTAATATGAGTTCCGTAAGTATTATCACCCTACGTTTATTGTTTTCGTGGTTATATACTTTGTTTGATGTCTTTTCTGTTATTAGATTTCAAACGTCGAAAACCTGTCACCGCAGACTATCCGCAGGTTAGTCCGGGAACAAGAAGACCTGATAAAAGACCCTCCAGAAGGCATACGGATTGTCGTCAACGATTCTGATGTCACTGACATCCAAGCATTCATCGATGGTCCCGGTAGGCTAAAAGATTACAAATTGTGAAACCAACATTTCTGACCAAATCGAATAAGCATTTATTGTTTTGATTAAATAGCAGGTACACCTTATGCAGGCGGTCGGTTCAATGTAAAATTGGTGTTGGGCAAAGATTTTCCACATACACCACCTAAAGCATATTTCCTTACCAAAATTTTCCACCCAAATGTAGCTAGTAGTGGTGAAATATGTGTCAACACTTTGAAGAGGGATTGGAAACCAGATTTAGGAATAAAACATATTCTTCTTGTAAGTAATGTAATATATTTCATTAAAAATGTTATCTAATCAATTTATTTTGGTTTTTAGACGATCAAATGTTTATTAATAGTACCAAATGCAGAATCTGCTTTAAATGAAGAAGCTGGCAAATTACTATTAGAAGAATATGATCATTATTTCCAAAGAGCTCAAATGATAACAGAAATTCATGCTCCGGTATACATTTCAGTTTTTAATATTAATATATATTTTTCTGATTTTAAGATACATGCTAATCTCATGCATTGATCTCATACAATTTTTAAGAAAAACTATTCCTATCCTGTAATTATTGTGTGGAGCAACTAACGTAAACAAAATTATACATTGCATAAGAGTAGTATAATTTTATGCGACAATATTAAATAATAAAAATAAAAATTGCCACATATTCGGTTTTAAAATATCTAAGACACACCAGTTATTGTCTGATCCTGCCTTTCTTTGAAAAGTGACTTGATCATGATAATAGTTTTGGTAGGAAACATCAAATCACTAGGTCCAGAATATAGTAATTTTCTTTTGAAATAGAATATAGTTATATTATAATGTAATAGTAAAAAATGTTAAATAATTTATAATAGTTTAATGATTATTATTTTATCATTCAACTCTTGAGCTGTTAATTCCAATGCTTCATATTACATGCATTTAGTAATTTATACATCAAAAAATTATTGGAAAACCTTTAATTATAATTTAATGAATTTAAAATCACCAGAATTAGTAAGATTAGTTTTATTTATAATAATCATTATTTCATAATTGCATCAATAATTACAGATACCTAAAAGTATGAAGATAGGAAGAGAAGAAGATTCAAGTGATGGTCCATTAGCAAAAAAACATGCTGGTAATAAAACAATAGAAAAGAAAAGAATTTCAAAAGATAAAAGAAAAACATTAAAAAGACTTTAGAGTATGAATATTTAAACTTGTATTATATTATATTGGGTGAAACTCAACCATTTGTCATCATTATATTTTATAGCACCTTGAAACCCTACTAAAAACTAGATTTTTCCAATTTGTGTGTATTTTTTTGTTTGGTTGCTGTATAAAAAAATTAAGATTCAATTATTTTGTGAATTCAAACAAGTGTTTAGCTAATTCAAAATTTGTAACCTGTATATGTATATAAAATATTTAAAAGATTATTTATTATAATATAAAATGTTCTAAAAATTGATTATACTTTGTTCCTTACTTACAAGAATGTTTCAAAAATAAATAATTCAATATAAGTATACATGGTTAAATTTTGTTCATTGGGATAGGTAAAAATGTTGTCAATACAAGTGGATAAAATATATATCATATACAAATCAATAACATTTTACATAATGAATGAAACAATTCAACCTACTCAATAGAAAATGATAATATCTCTTTGCTTAATGATTTGGTTGTTCTTACGTTWTCATAGAAATAATATTAAAAAACCTAAATACTTTGATATCAAATATATTAAGCAATTAATTTCTTTGAAGTTATTTTCACAATTTTTACACTTAGTTCAAATCCAGTTATCATTCCCTACTACAGTGGCATAATTTAGTCATGTTTGTGGGGGGGAGTTGGCAACATCGCCCCCACTAAAAATCTAAGTTGGTTAATATCATAAGCACCTCTAAATTCAACAATTGTTATCAATAGGTACATGCATACATCAAAAACCTTTATAATGTTATAACTTTGGAAGTCCGACCAAAAACTTCTGAATACATCATTGTTCTTAATTTGATGAAATACRTAGGTTTCCAAAAATTTAGGAGTTAAGCTGCAATATGCGATACGTATTTCAATACATTTGTGCAATAGAATTACAAAGTAATATAATAGCTTTGTACAGCTAGTATAGGAGTTGGTTTTTATGTATTTATTTCTATAAAATATATAATGGCATATCTATTACCTATGAATAATATTTATAGTTAAATACGGTTGCCATTTTAAAACATGGATGAATGTGGATTAGACACACAAATCTCTCTTACATTATCACACCACTGCTCACCAACACGTTATAATTTGGTTTTCGATTGAAATTAGATAATGGATTACAAAGAACATGTTAAATGCCTCATTGCCTCAGTAAGTACAGGAATGTTTTCTTTTGAAAGATGCAGTTAGGTTAAATTGTTGATTTATAATATACATACATAATATATCAAACCAGCAATTTGTCATTCAAAAACAAAATGTTTCAATGACTAAATATAAATAATAGGAAAAAATGTATTGAGGAATTTATGCCCTTTTAAAAATTGTATGTATAAACATATCCAAAATAAATGTAGGTATTGCAATAAAAAAAGTTTATATTTAGCATGAAAACTTAAGGGGAATAATATACAAATAATTGGAAAGTAGTTAAATTATAAAAGTGTATAATTGCAGGTTAAATTTACTTTAACCTATATATAGAAAATATTACGAGTTATTTTTTTAGTTAATAACTAATAACACTGTTTTAATTGTCAAACACTATTAAACTTAAAATAGATATTAGAAAATAAAGAAATGAGTACATAAATCAATTAATTATTCTTGCTTTTAATAAAGCTATCAAGTTGTGCATCTAGTTCATCTTTATTTGGCATCTTTTTTTCACTATTTCTGCCACCTCTGCTACTGCCTCCACCTCTTCCTCTGCTGTTACCGCGAGTATTACCACGACCACCTCTGCTGTTACCCCGGTTACCTCTGACTCCTATAAAAAAAAAATGTATGTTAAAACTTATTTTATATTCAAAAAACAGCAAGATTAAGACATACCACCACGAGTACCCCGAACTGGTAATTGGGCGGGTCTACTTAGACGTGTAGCAAGATTAGCAACAGTAGATAAGTCTGTGGCAAGTTCAATCTTCATGGGACGACCTTAAATAAATAATAAATTATCAATTGAAAACAACATAAAAAAATTGTTTTTAAATAATTACCATCCAGGGGCACATTGTTATACTGACGGACTGCTTTTAATGCAGCATTCTTACTATCAAAAACAACATCAGCTGTTCCTAAAGATCTTCCAGATCTGTCATAATGAACTGTAGCAGTTTTTAAAGGACCAAATTCATCAAAAAGTTCCTGTCAAAAAAAAAAAAACTATTTAATAGATCTTTTATATTCAATACACTTAATATAAAACCATCCATGCCAATACAAAACTATCATTCACAAGACAAGTTGTAATATTCATAAAACCAGAAAATCATAAAATTATCAAGAAATATACTAAAGTTTAGATTACTTTTTAAAAAGTCTCTAGTTACTGAGAGGAAATGACGGCAGAAAATTGTTTTTAATCAAGTAATATCATTACTTTATAATAATCAATCAGTTGTGTGGCTTCAGAAGACTGATGTTGTGGAAGATGACGATAGTAATGGAGTTGATTGTAATTAAGCTTCCTTGTGTAATTTCAGGTTTTCTCTTAAATCGTTTTGTTATTATTATTATGTTTATTATTATCTGGCTAAAAAAAGTAAATAACTTTTCAAATGTATTGATCATCGTTGCAATTTTTTTTTTTTCATCAGCTTTTTAGTTCATTAAATCTTGACATGATGGTTTGATAATAAAATACATCAACAAGATTTTTTTAATTTTCCATTAAAAATCTTTAAATACTTTTTTCTTCTTAAAATGTATTTCTTCTTTGAATGATAAAATATCAATAATTTGGTTTTATTAATTGAAACAATTATTATTTCATTGTGTTTATTTCTTGTGAATACCTTAGTGGCAAGCATTATATTATAAATTAATGAAAATTTTCAATTTTCTCAACTGAACAACACATTTTCTTCTTGGAAATTAAATTATCTTATAATTCTGAATTCTCTGATGTATATGTGCAGCATCATTGAAGGAAACATGTTAATTTGAATGAATGATGGATAAAAGGTGCATCACAGAAGATCCATTGAATTCAACAACAAAACAACAAAAACCAAAAACTCATCAAGATATTTTAATTCAAGAAAAATCACCAAAACTAGTTATGATCTCAACAACAATAGTTCACGACTATTTTATTTCCAAATCAGTACCTCATAATTGTCATTTTATTGTATAACAATACTATTCAAAGACTTAGAAATTGGTATTATATTCATAAACATATCATTCAAAATAACTTTGTTATTGAACAGTTGTCCAATGATAAGGAAATTTTTAATTAAAAAAAAAATAGCCTAATATTATTTAATTTTATACTTCTATAGTAATAGCACAATAAAATTGTGATTTTAGCAACAGGTACACCAAATGTGTAATTTTGAATATATCTTCTTCTGGTTATGATGAAAAGACTTCTGTTTAAAGATGTAGATGTTATGTTTTTCTTAAATGTTGGTGTAGAATCATCTTTAACGATGTAGATAACTTTCAAATATTATAAATGTGATGTTTTTTAAACAAAAATACAATTGGTGTACCTGAGAAAAATACTTTTCAAAACGCCATGTGCATTACTTAAATTAAAATTATCACTGTTTATGCTTGTCAATAATTCAGTGAAGCACTCATGACTACCATAATATCTTAAGACACTATGATAAATATAGCAATTTTAAAAATGTCAACTCGCATATTCAGAAATGAGTTACAAAATATCATGTTTAGTAGTCAATGGCTTATTTATATTGGGTCATTTTCCCAGAATTAAATTTAGGCAAAAAAATGTTTCATAAGTTGTATTGAAACCCGAATTCTTTTGTAATAATTTTATCTTGAGTAGCCAGGTATAGAAATTATAAAGAGAAAACACTGTCCATGGGTCGTTCTCGGACGGCAGTTTACAACACAAATGAAACCCCAGCTTTGAACCAATAGTGGATCTAACAACATGTGGTGAACATTCTATCTAGGTATCTTCAAGCTGCAATCGGCTGAAGATGCCTGGAAAAATAATGTTTTCGAATTTATTTACATTAAATAATAAAATGAAGCCTAAAAGTAGTACAATTTACATATATTGTTTAATAAATTGTTTTTTATTCCTAGGTTATGAAAAAATTGAAAACTGTTTTCCACATCTCAATCAATAAAAAATTCATAAAAATCAATAAATTTATGTGTTTGTCTTCATTTACTTAAGGCGTGATACATTTTGGGCTAATTAAATTACAATATTGATGTTTAGTAAGTATAAGACTAAACATTTTTTAATTAATATTAAGTATTTTAATAACAATAAAAATTAACATTATTTCTTCTGAAATGTTTAAGATTATAATTATACCATTAATAGTGATATTTATTCAATTCAATTCAATTATTAACTGTACCCAAACATTAATATTCAAATAAAACAAAATCAATCTTTGAAAAATAGTTAGGTAAATTACCAARTTAAATTAGGAACAAAAATAAAACAGGCATTTTCAAGTGTGATTATTAAGAAAACATTGACACATTAATTTAGGTTTTAATCTTAATCAAACCTGTATATCTGTTGATGTAACTCCAAAATCCAAATTTGATATGACTATTTTATGAATACTGGTAGTAGATAGACCACCCCTCATTTGTTGTCTTTTAGGTCCTTCGTACATATCATGAGTCCACGATCCATTTACATCACCCTAAAAAATTATAATTATAAAATAATCATATATTATATTATTTAAACATTCAAGAGGATATGAACTACAATATAATAATAATGTAATATACATTACATTAAGTAATTACATTAATTACTTAATTACATTAAGTATCTCAGTTATAATACAATGACTACCTATGCAAATATTTTTAGTTTGATTTAAGGTTGATTCCCTAGTGATTATAGGAATTTACAGGTGTGTTGTACTATCAAATACATGGTAAACATTTGTTTGAAAATATATAAACCATGATGCATMATATACAATTTAAACAATAACTTACCCATCTATAATACAATGACTACCTATGCAAATATTTTTAGTTTGATTTAAGGTTGATTCCCTAGTGATTATAGGAATTTACAGGTGTGTTGTACTATCAAATACATGGTAAACATTTGTTTGAAAATATATAAACCATGATGCATMATATACAATTTAAACAATAACTTACCCATCCCATCTTATTCTCAAATATCACCTTTGGCATTTAAAGAAAACTAAAAACTGAGAATAATTGCTACCTTGATTTTAGCCTTTTAACCTAACCTAACCACCCTTCCAAAAAAAAATGTTCACAGTGACACTGAATATGATATAAAATTTTAAATAGCTAAATTAATACAATAATAGGTTTCATCTAAATAATGATAATAATATTTTGAAATAATGTGTGTATGAAGTGGAAAATTGTTCTATTGTATAGCCTTATACCTAGATACTTAAAATTTAATGGGCGGAACACTTTTTGGCCAAAATGAACATTTACCTTTTCGGTCATTCTGAAATGACCATTTTCGGCCAGCACTCTATTTGGGTTACCAATAAAATATTCATTTCGCGTTTTATTTTTGTTAAACCACCAAAAAACTACTTTTTTAATGGACTGTGTAAAATAATATATATATTGAAAAATTAATACATKTATTATATATATGTTACCGGGAATATTGACGTTTAGGAAATGATGACAGTTCCCAATAGCGGAAGGAAATGATATCATTGCCTAGTTCATGTTATCATTTCCTAACGATATTAGGCAAAGATGCCATATATATTTTAATTTAATCTGTCACAATTATTAATAACCCTATTACACTAATAAATAACCAATGATTAATAATTAATAAAAAATTTAATATTTTTTTTTTTAATCACTTTATTAAATTCACCTCGCATTTTATTCAAATCCATTTTAACGAAAAAATACGTACTGCACTAAGGAGATAGGCACACACTACTAAGCGTACGTGTTGTGTGGACAGGTAGGGACACTTTTAATAAAACACGTAAATGATACATTAAACATAATATGCAATACCTATGTGATAGCCATGACATTTTTCAATCAACCATTTTAACAATATTGAGAGTAATGACAGTATAATGGTTTTTAGCATCTCACCGTTCTGAGTTAGTTAATAACTATCGTTATAATAGCTTTACATTGTAAATCCACATGACCTGCAACATCATAATCGCCAATGCTTTCGTGTAAGAAACTGATACATGATAACTAGGGCTCGAATGTTTATTCACTTAAAATTACTCTAATATAAATAAATAAAATTATAAAATATGTATTTTTAGCCAATAAAAACACAAAAATATGTAAAATAAAAATAGTATTATTTGATTCAGTAAAACATGAATTAAATTTGTACCTAGGTTAGCATTAAATTGAATAAATAGAAAAAAATATGCAATTTCATAAACATCCGGGACCTAGTGATAACATTTCCTAGGTACTGTATTCATTTCCTAAATTGTCAACATTTCTGGTAACATATACATTAAGATTCATTTAATTTGCATGTCTTTATTTATATATGCGGCAGCAGACACAATGATACATATAAGTATGTGGATAGAAACACACTGAAATATAATTGAACAATGATATCAATCGACCAGATATCGACAAGAATAAAATAAGATACTTATGATACAATATAATGAAGATAAAAGTAATAATGACATCAAAAATTATTATAAACGAGTATGCGTCAACAATTGTCAATTATTACACAATAAATATAAAATTAAGTGGATTTTAAATTTAATTTATGGTAGTTATAACACATWCATTTAATAAAATGTATTTGTGTTATTTCTCACCTCACATAAAAGAATATTTCATTAGTGACCAAAATAGTGTGCTGGCCGAAAACAGTTATTTCAGAATGGCCAAAAAGTGAACTAGGTAGCTGAAAAGGGAAAGGTTCATTTTGGCCGAAAACGGTGCCGCCCATATTAATTACCTATACCTTTTTTATTTCTTGTGACATTCACATTACTACATGGAGGCTGAACTGCTTTAATAAATGGCTTGATTCCTCACCCACAACATCGTTCATTAAAAATCGTAAAGAAACAATAATTTGTACAAATTTTATATATTTTCATTGGCTGGGATCTACTTTCTTCAGTGGCGCTGATATGGATTCATGGCACTATGAGGTCTTAAAATATCAAAATCAAATAATGATGGGAGACAAGGAGATAGACAGACCATGTCCTGCCTTCTCCCCTCACATAAATTAATTTACAGGTAGTGTTAATATTAATTAKTAGTCTTTTCGGACTGTTCTTAGCGAACCGTGTTAGATTTCTCATACTAAAATACCTCATTGCGAGCAGGAATTATCTGTACTCAGTATACCCCACTATCAATACCGGTTCCCTTAAGGCAAGTCATCGTGTGGAGGTGCACTGAAAAACCTACTTTGGTTGGGACATAGCGCGTTTACTCGTAGAACAGAAGATAGATACCAAACAAATACTATTTGCTCTATTTAATTAAAATAAAAGTAGTAAAATTACAAATAGACATGATTTTTTGTTTCCGAACACCCCTAATTATTGCCAAGATAGACGAAGAATAGAGAAGAGGGCTAAAGCCTTCAAATGCTCAAGAGTCAAGACTTGTTACTTCAGGGCGCCGCCATTCAAAAGGCTCCCAACTTTCACGTGTTTCTCACCTTGGAATACGGACTAAATCCATTTGAACGCCTCGCCATCGGCCTGCCTCTACGCATAGGGCCACCACCACCACCACCGCCGGTAGCACCATTTGATCGAAAATTCGATCCTCCGCCGCCACCGCGTTTAACACCACCGCCTCTAGAACCGCCTTGTCTTCCGCCACCACGACGACCACCACGGGATGTTGACCGTTTACTCTTGATAAGTTCGTCTAAGCTCAAGTCCATCTCGAAACGATTGCGGTGTAGAATAATTGGTTCACAAATAAAACAGACGAAGTTAAGACTTGCGGAATGAAATAGTATGAAGTAAATGCAAATCACACTCGTCTGCACTGAATAAGTGAAAATGTTCAACAAAAATGGCCGCAACGCAAACAATCATCAATCACTATGTTACGTAGTTAATAGTTAGTGGTAAACTGGTAACTCCAATACTCCATCAACAAACCATGGTTGCCACTACTCACAAATCTCACTAGCTTTTGTACTTTACGTTTTGCCAGCACTGTAATATCATAGTTACGTCTATTAAATATTAATTGATTGTTTAATTTTTGGTAGTTATGGTTTGACTGGAATGGCAGTGAGAGAGTATCCAGTGTGTATAATGGACACACTGATGATATGGCGCTAATAATTTGAAATTTAAAGAATTTTAATATTTTGTAAGAGCATATTTTTTTCTATAAAGTTGTTAACGACATCAATGGCTCCGTTTACGGATTGCTGTAAACTTTGCGGTCAGACGGATCACGCTCGTGCGTCGTCGGTGAAATTTCCTCAAAGCGTACTGCCGCAAAAACGACGGAGATACTGAATGAAAAGATTTTGACTTTAACCGTTCAAGAAAGTTTTTGCAACTTTTGTTCGTACAACGCGTTACGCAAGCAAATTGACAAAGACGTGTTCGAAGAATCGGTTTCGGCTACCGTAAAGAGGCGTCCGTATAAGTATWAATTATCACTATATATAAAATTATTGCACGGCAACGAACATGACGTATTTGCGAAGAGTTTCACGTAAAAACACCTACTATGCTTTTAATATCAGCTGCAGAGCAAACGACACCAATTAAAACATGTACTATTGGACGCCAAATATTTCGCTTTACTATAAGTGTTAGGTTAGGTTAACGTGTTAGCCGCTACATACCGGTCGATTTCAATCCATACAATATAAACGAGACTTCGGTAAAGAATCGGGTGACGGGTGTGCAATCTTTTCAATCGCATCGTACGTTACATGTATCCATTTATATGGAGTAAACGCAAAACGCCTGAGTGGATGTCGTATATAGTGTATACTCATAGGCGCAACTAGACCTCTAAAACGTGGGGTGCTATACTATTAAAAACATAAAATTGATTAAATTTTATTATAATTATAATAGTTAGATCTAAAATATCAAGGGGTGCTAAATTAGAACTTGGGGGTGCTAAAGACCCTTTTACAYCCCCCTAGTTGCGCCAATGTGTATACTGTATACGAAGAACTGTTTTCGCGCGACCAAATTTCGTTGCAATTAATCTGCCAGCCGTTTAGGAATGCATCAATAAGGACAGACAGACAAAAATAATTTATACGAAAATAGATAGATGAAGATTACTCAATTTCATATATTTATTTTTTCAATTATTATATTATGCATGTTATATACATATAAACCTTCCTCTTGAATTACTCAATCAATTTAAAATAACCGCATCAAAATCCGTTGCGTAGTTTTAAGACCTAAATGATCTAAGCATACATAGGGACCTGGGACAGACAGACAGCAGGAAACAACTTTGTAGTGATAATAAAGAGATGGAAGTTGAAAAGTTTTCAACATCGCGTATACCATTACCATAATCTTCACATAATTTTTTTAATTGAATTCGTATTTTTTTTGTACACTTTTGTCGTTTCTGTTGTGCTACTCCTAATTGGATTTGAATTTTGAGCTAGCTTGTTTCATGAACTGCCACTTTTAATCTAATCATGGCCAAAATTGTTGGATGTGTTTATCCTATTTATTTACTTAACTTATGATTCCATCCTTCGGTACCTTTATGGCTATATATAGTTATACACATATTAATACATTATAACCATACATAGCCACATATTGGTACATAGATATAAGAATGAAATGTTAATTGAATGATGTTAAATTGTTAACTTGATTTTCCCAACACAGAAATCCGACTCCCAAAACATAGTGATAGTATAACAAAGTCAAACTAGTTTTGATATATTTTTAAGCATAAAAAAATTATTTTCTTTTTAATCATTCAAAATTTACAAATTCGGTTACGAGAATATTCAACAGAGAGAACACCAGGGTAGCTGGATTAGTGATCTTATATTATGAAATATGACGTAGGTACCTAATATACTAATATACCAAAATATAAAATTGTAGTTTTTATTTTTCGCATCTGGTGTATTCTAAACACAAATTGACGAAATTGACGTGGTAGGTATGTTAAACTGTACAAGTGTAGCGGTGAAGATAGGTAAGTCGAACGATTGTTGAACATGTCAAAATTACAAATGGCGAGAACATTTTTATAAATCATCTCTAATATCGAACATCCCCTATTTTAAATGAATAAAACCAATAAATCGATCACAGAAAACTCTCCTTAGATATAAATTTAAACTACCTACAAAACTATGATTCAAGATTCGAGGATTCTATAAATTAATCAGATAAATTACAATTTTAACAATGAATTCTCTTTAAATCATTTAGTAGTACCTATGTATAATTTAATAAAACTTTTTTTTTTTTAATATATAATTTAATGTTTGAATATAAATAACAATTATATATTTATAAATTAATAGTGGAATGAAAAAAAAAAAATTATTATTAAACTACAATGCAGAAAAATAACTTATAAAATAAATGTAAATAACATATTACAATTGAACTAGAAATTGAATTAAATATAATGTATTAGTTATAAATTGCAAAATAATTGCAATGTTTTGCCTCGAAGACTTGCAGAATTCTATTACAAAACTGATTTTAACAAACATTTTATATAATACATAACCTCAATTCAACCTTAATTTTTAATTTAAAAAAAAATATACAATTAAAATAACTATAGGCTGTTTATCCCTGTTTGCCGAAAAAATATCAAATTATTATTTTTAATTCATCCACAGCCTTCTATTATTATATAATACACACAAAGTTGACATTCTTTTTAATGAATAACATACATTAATTTAATTATTAGAATATAACTTGAGACTAGAACTAGATGCAAAATTTAAAGTGATTTACTTCATTATCAACAGAAGTAAAGCACATAATAAAAAATTCACTTAAATAATATATTTTTTAATTTAAAATCTCAAGGATTAATTGTGATGATCAGACAATGTATGTATTGAAACATTTATAACAAATAATTAACTAATCAAAATACTTAGCAACAAAAATAAAGACAATTTTGTATAAAATATATTAGCTGAATGTTGCAATTAAAATAAATTTAAAAAAACTGACCACTATTAAAATGTATGTATTCTAAATAAAAAGTATTTAACACCATGAAAAAAAAGGACTTTTGTTTTGAAATCTTTGAGTAAATGTATCACTGAATGAACGAAACTTGGAAGTAGTTCCCACATGACCTTTAGACCTGAAAAATAAAATGATAACTTTGTAGTTTAAACAAAGCTTAACAAAACTATTAATTTAAAAATCAAACTTTTAATRATTTTATTCATTGTAGGTAAAAGTATAAGTGAAGGGTCAAAGTCAAACTGTTGGAATCTCAAACTGAACCCTAGTTGTTCATTTGGTTTTAAATTCTAACAAAGTATAAAAAAAGTTATGAACCGAACTATCAAGCATCTTTTATTATTTGAAAATCAAACTTGAAAATATTTTTATCAAACAATATCTAAAATTTATTTTCTTGACTTCACAGTAATTAAAATGTAAGTATCATAATAGTATAAAACTATCAACTATTATTTTTATATTATGACGATTAGGTATGATAAAATAAAATACAATTTTGAGCTCGAATTCTCGTTCAATAAAAATTGTTATTAGTTTGGTTCGGTGATGGTTATTTCCAATACTTCAACAATGTTAGGTTTGATGTTCAGTTCAACACAAAAAAATCATTTTCGACCCATCACTAAAAAGAACATATTTTGTTTCAAATAAATAGTTATCTCTAAGTGGCTACCAAATTCCTAATAATGCTGAGTTCTCGAGAGTGACACTTTATTATTTTAACAACCATCTAGCTTGCTTAAATTTATCTAAGATTAACAACACAATAACCAATTTTTTGAATGTGTCAATCGTGAATAAAAAAATCAACAACTAAAAACTATTTAATCAATGTGTAGGGTTGGACCAGTCAAAATCAGACATCACCTTGGTTTACTCTTATTTAAAATAATGCGATGATACTCTTCAAATGTGATTTGTGTTTGTTATTATGTCTACTTGAGATCAGCCAGTCCACTTTTGCCAATTTCACCCCCCCCCATTCTACCAACAAATATTAATTTATAATTGATTCCCAATTTAAATTAGAAATCTTAAAATATGTACCGACTGATCTAAAGTAGACATCATACAAAATTTAGACTAGTTTTCTGAAACATTATCTCAGAATTAGATTGATTGGTAGAATGGACAAAAATTACATACAAATGAGCATTAACTGTTTACTGATGACATGTGTAATGCTAGGCAGTGACTTGTAGGAACGCTCTACTATTTCTTTTACATAGTCACACATGTTAATAACTTATTATGCACACATTAACTAGATGCACAAGCATGCGATTTGAATATTGCTTACTTAAAATTGCTTAAAAAATATCTACCACTGATCCCCTAAACAATAAGATATATAATTTTATTGTTCTTTGTAGAAAAAATAATAACTCCATTAAATTMTTAGAGTAATGTATTAAAATGAATAAGTCATATTAATGCTGAATATTTTTGAATTTTTTATATGAATGCATTTATACAAATAAATAAAATCCAAAAATCAACGAAATCGATTAAAGAATATACTAAAATAAAAATAGTTGTCAACTGTGAATTTTAAATTATAGATACTAAATGACTATTATTTATTATTACCGTTCAACAATAACAGCTGGCATTTGAACAAGTTGTACAGGACTTTTACCATCTTTTAGAGCTTGAGTTAAATTTAATATCTGCCCACGCATAACACTCATTTGTTTTTCAAACATATGTCTATCAAATCCTTTGTCTATCTGTAAGTTGAAACATATGAACAATCATTAACTTTGCTGATTTAAAAAAAATAAAATTATAGTATTACAAGTGACATGGATAAATATAGGTAATGAGAATTAGTTTATGTTATGAAAAAAAGTATATATATATTTTTTTTTTTTTTAGATTAGCCCAATAACATTTATTGGATAGTCACTGTTCAAGTCTTATAAATTAAATTTATTTAGTTTATATCTAAAACATTGAGAAATCAATTTCAAAGTAAAATCAGTCAAAAATTATAACTTGACGCACATCATCTATGAAACACAATTATGATTAAGGAAAACAAAGGAGGAGATTAGGTTTCAGCTATACTGTACGGTAGGTGTTTTGAATATCTCATGATAAATGATTCTTAATGAAAATGATTTATCATGATGTGTTTTTAAATATTACTATCAAAGTTATTTATTTAATTATTATTACTACAGTAAGCTGATTTAATTAGCCAAAAACATTATATTTATTATAACTATCTTTGTAATTTTTGGTAAAATTTAGCTCAAATTACTAACTTACAATATTAAACATTTATATCAGTGTAAGTTAGGTCTAATAAGGATATGTTATACAGGATATTAATGATTCATCAAAGAAGTTAATTCAAACAATATTAATTTAATATAAATATAAATCTTTTCTTGTGTATAATTATTATTTTTCTGATTACCTTAAACAAAGTGTAAAGATCATCACACAAATCTTGAACAAAGTTCATATCAGACAGATAAGGTAATACTAGTTCTTTTGTATCTTTACTAAATGGAATCTTTGCTTGAGGAAGCCATGCCCAATGATAAGGATATGCGCGCCATGAATCAGGGTGTTTAAATGGGAATGCTAAGCCATTATCAATAGCTGCTATCTTTATGTCTGGTTCTTGAACACTATTCCATTCCTATTTAAATATAAATACCAATAAATATTTAGTTATTAAGTTAGTGATGGGTCAAACCTGATTTTTTTTGTGTCAAACCAAACATTGTCAAAGTATTGTGAACCCAAACCAAACTCTTAAATTAATCAAACAAACTCAAACCGAAATGTTAAAATTTTTTATGGAACTAAAATTTGAWCTCAATATTTTATTTTATTTTATCATACCTTATAGTAATAATATAAAAAATAATAGCTGATAGTTTAATACTATTATAATTTATGATTTGTGATACGTACATTTTAATAACTATACAGTAGAGAAAATTAGATTTAGATATTGCTTAAGAATATTTTCAAGTTTGATTTTCGAACAGTAAAAGATGCTTGATAGTTTGGTTCGTATTTTTTTTATACAGAATTTGAATTTAGAAGTTAGAACTGAACCGAACTCTTTGGTTCAAGATGCAAATAGTTTGACACATCACTAATTTAAATTTTTTATAAACAAGTATAAAATATACAATTATTACACTTACATTTGAGCTTTCGCTGACTGTGGAATTTGTAAGGCTAGCATTTGGGCTTGAGCTTAAGCTCGGTTGATCATACCTAATCAACCAATTATCATTACCTCGATCAGTGTTTCGAATAATGTAATCTAACACAACAAGCCTTTCAAATTGAATTTGAAAACGGGATTGAAGATTTAATGGCAGTGGGGCTAATTCAAGTCGCCTAAGCCAATATTCAGCATCTTTGTAACCTTCCATAAATAATTGGAAAGATCCTATCTGAAAGTAAAAGTATACACATTTTTCAATTATTTAATTAAATTAAAATTTACTTTACATACTTTGGGCCTAAGACCAAGTCTATTAAATCGCCGTCCCAATTTAGGAAAATGATCGTTAATAGCATGTTTCATTCTAGTCTTCTCTCTGTCTATACGTCCATAGTTGAATGTCTCACTAACTAACTTTGCAACCTTAGTTTTAGGTACAATATTCAATCCAAGTTTAATTGATACAAGACTAGCACCAGCTTCTGACAAGTATCCTTGATTAGGTATTAAACAAGAACGTCCAAAACAGCATGGACAACAGTTTTTGTGTAGCCATTTAATCCATTTTGGATTCAACAATCCATATGGTTCTTCATCTTTTGGTTTAAAAACACCAATAATTTTCTAAAGTATAAAATAACATTTTAATAATATTATAAGCTAAATTTACAATAATAAAAATCACAATATGGATTATAAATTCCATTTTATCATTAATATGGAATTTAGAACTTCAATTAACATTTTAATAATTTACTTTAAACAAAATTATATTTGTAAAAAAAACTTACATTATTTGTATCTTTAACAAAATAGCTGCCACTGGACCCTTGATAAATGCGTTCAGGAAAGACGCTATTATCTATAGCTAATTCTGATTGTTTGATAACATAACTGAATGCCGGATCATCTAAAAAGAAATAAAATGAGAAATTAACTTTAATTCAATTGCATTTTCTATATATGTAAAACTCAAATAACAGATACAATATTTACCATATTTTTCATAACAATCATAATCAACTATAGAAATATCTTTAAACATCATGAGTTTAAAATACTATGTATACTATGTATTAATAATAAAACAATAATAAATTGTCTAAATTTATTATATACTTTACTAATACACTAAAAGAATTAAAAGATAGTAAAATACACATTATAATGTGATTTGAGTGTTATCATTTATCAATATTCAAGATAATAATATGCAATAACTTGTATCATACATTATTGACGCAATATTGAGTACTTATAGAGGTGTGGTATATCATTGAATGCATTTCCTATCATAATAAAACCTATTATAAAATATTTAGATTTTTGATACAATACACAAACATTTTATAGCTTCAATCAATATCCAATGGCAAACAGATATAAAAATTAACAATTGACTTTTATTTACAAACTTTCAATCTTAAATAACTGATTAAAAAGCCTAATAAAAATTATCTAAAAAAAATTCTATAATTTGCATTGTAGAATAAATTATAGAATGTATAATTTATTAAAATAATTAAATATTTAAAAAAAAAAGAATAAAACTGATTGTGATTGATTAAATAAAATTCTATTTTAAAGAAAACCATTATTTGTAATTCAAAATAATTTAGATACTGATTAAAAGAAGGTATTAGTGGCATTTTTAATTGTTTTATCTATTCTAGAAATATGTTTTAAATTAAATTTTATAAAATCATAGATTTGCAGCATAGAATCAAAACATTCAAATTGTTTAAAAAATATCTATTCTAAATAAAAAATGTTATTAAGATAAACTAAACTGATAAAAATACAATTTTTGAATTTTTCAACAGTTACATTAGTTGTGCTTAGTTGGCATATCTGCCATTACCAATTCATATAAAATAATATCATAGCATAACCTATACCTAAAAATAAAGCTTGGGACTTATAGCACTTAAAATCATTAAAATAA